CACCATTAAACTTATTTAAGTAGGATAATATCCCAACAGTGGCTTTCCCAAAAACTCCATTTTTCTGGAAATGCAACACTTCCTCCATCTACTACACTCCAAACAAACACAGAGTTAAGGCTGCAGAACCTCCAGAGTCTATTTTCTTATAATGTAAACCCACCTCCTTGGTCATGAGTAATTGGTCTCTTTCAGTTTGTTGGAACTGGTATTGAAAGAAAGAAATTACTCTCACAGGAAGCTGGACCTTAGAACATACAAACTTGAAACTGTCAGCTAAAATCATGTTCTTCCACGTGGATGAGGAAGCAGAGAATACCAGTTTGTACATTATTCGTAAAATTACATATGTCTCACTTTGCCTGAGATATTTTCTGCTTACATCCGTTTTCTCAGTATAATTATTAATAGTGTCTTCTCTTAAAATGTCCTGATTTGGGAGCTAAATTATATGGTCATTCTAATCACTCAAGATTCTTTGATGGAAAATGATAGAAGCTCAACTGGAACAGCAGCTGTCAAGTTATCATTCTGGGTCCCATCATCCAAGATAACTCAGCTTTCAAGCATGTGCAGAGTGGAGGGGGCAGAATTAATCTTTACATGGGGGCAAGTGCCTTTGAACTAGAAAGGTTCCTATATCTCATTTTTGGTAAGGGGGGAACTCCCTTTTTGAATTTGGTTCTCACATAAGTGTTGCTGTGTAGGCCCTTGCTGCTATTGGTGATATGAAGAGTAGCTCACCCTAACATGTAGCTCCTAGATACAATTGCTACAAAGGCTATGCTATTCCATCTTCTGGCTGTAGACTGTACGAATATGCAGGTTAGGTAATCTTCATCTGTGGTTGCTGTTAAGAGGCTGTGACTGTCATTGGGTTTTTGACTCACAATTCATGCATTCATTCTCTATATCAACTAAAGTCAACTTGCAGGGAGAAAAAAGAATGATGCAGGTGCACAACGAGTAGTGGAGCAGAGAGAGAAGATAGATATCTTGGGTTTCCTCTTATGCTCCAATCCCCGTTGAAACTGCCTCTGATGTGTATTCCTGCCTTTAGCTTCCATAAGATGCCCACAATTACTTCATAATTATACCTTTATGCTTAAGTTTTCTTCAAAATCTGTCTGTAACTTGCAATCCTTAAAATTCTGATGCAACTCAGAATCTAAACTCAGAATTAGCAGATTTAATTTTCCTGTATGATCAGATCAATATATTGAATTCATTTATTTATGCTTTTACTATATGAGTATTGAAGGCTTAATATATGCTGGACATTGTGCTAGCTTCAGAGACTACAATAAGTATGATAGACAGATTCCTACCTCCCTGGACATTGTGCTAGCTTCAGAGACTACAATAAGTATGATAGACAGATTCCTACCTCCCTGAAGTCATCAAACTAATAAATACAGAGACGAGATCCTTCCCATTCTGTTTCCAAAGATTGATCAAATAATTCACTAGTCTATTCAGAACCTTGTTTATGCACCCTGGGTATTCATAGCCTGTGAAGAGTCACTGAAATACAAATTCTCTGATCAAGAATGCATTCCATTCTAAAAAGGTAGATTTGGAAACATATGAAGGGATATTTATTGATCAAAAGTATACATGTATAAATATGGTATACATAAGATGTAAGGTATTGTTAGAATACAGTGGTTAGTTTTAAAAAATATGCTTTATAGTTTCATTAGCTTTTACACCCTGCTATGGACATGTCTCTGACGTGGGTTTTAAATGATTGCTGGGTGGACTAGAATAGAAAATAGAATTCTACTATGTTAGCCAAACCTCTATGGAGAAAGTATTTTTTTCTCAAAAGTAGGGGAAGGAAAGTTTGTTTCAAACCAGAAGGAAGCTTGAGAGGTGGTTTGGAGGCAATGGCTCATTGAGTTCATTTTCTCAGGCTGAGTGGGTGAGGCAAAGAAGGAAATAGACTGATTGCTTTTAGTGTTCCCTTCTTAAGGGAACAAATCATTGTGTTCTTTGGTATTTATTAATTTATCTTCAATAAATGTAATTCCCAAGTACAGAACAGTCCAGGGGTTTTCCTTATGGTGTGCACATTAAATCAACAGATGAGGCAGAACAAGAATTGGAGTTGGACCAATTGGAGTTGGACTACTTACGTCCCACAGGGATCTTCTGAGAACAATTTGGGCTTCTAGGAATGCTGATGGAAAATTTTCCAAGTTTACCAAGACATTGGGCTAGCAGAGTTTTGACAACTGTAGGCCAGTCCTTGGGGATCTAAATTGGCAATATTATGTTGCATATGACCCAGAAAGCCTGAACCTATACTTGGCCCTCTCTATTAAGTCCACGTAAGATGGAAACCTTGGTGGATCTCTCCTCCATCCTCTCCAGCTGCAGGTAGCGAGGTAAAGGAGATGAGATGTGTTCCTTCTGAAGCTGTCCACAGAGATGCGATGTCTGTATATAACCAGCTGACAATGCTTGCTGATGATATTGATAATTGTATTGAGAGTTCACTGGGCTGCCCACTGTTCTAGTGGTTTTCATACACTGTTAATTTAATTGTCATAAACACATGAGAAGATACTATAATTATCCCCATTTATAGATGAGGAAACTAAAGCAAGGAGAGTTAAAGGAACCTGCCCAAGGTCACAGCCAGCAAGTGACAGAGCTAGAATTTGAACTCAGGCTATGTGGCTGCAGAGCGAATGCTTTGAACAATTTTTTCTGCCTCTCCTTAATGGTTGTAGCCTGGTGGCAGCCGGTGCTTGGCCCACTGTAGGTGCTCAGTGAACATTTATTGAGTAACTGACCATTGGGCTCATGGGGAGCTCTCCTTGATTTGCCAAAAGGTAGGCTAACTCTAAAATGTGCAGTCAGATAGGGTACATTTAGAAGGCTGGTCCTGTACTTTCCCTTCCTTAGTCTATCAATTGGAGATGGAAACCTTGTGGATCTTGGGAAATGTTCTTAATCTGAGAACTAAAAATTTCTTTTTGGGTCACATATCCCTTGAGAATCATATATACCTAAGAACCCTTTCTACATAAAAATGCTCACGCACAAACATTTTTTCATAATTTCCAGGATTGTTTAGATCTCTAGAACCTTCCAGGAATAACAACAGTGATTTTTGAAGAGTGATTCTGATCTTTGAACATTGATACCTTTCACTTTCAAGTGAGTTACGTGAGTGCTTGCTTCAAGGAAACTTGTGTTCACATTTTACTGAGGTAGTTGCTTTTGTTTTTCTCCTTCAGGAGAAAGCTCCGTGCCAGTGTTACAGTTGGCTGTGGTCACTAGCTGGCTGCCTGGTAACGGCACAATTTGTGCATTCCATGGCGGGGCTCCAGAAAGGCAGAGTGCTCTGCCAGGGAGCGGATGTATGAGCTCCAGGTTTCTGACATTACTGATGATGCCCCTGCTGAAAGACCTCATTATTACCATAGCAAATACCGGGAGAACAAAAGGACCATTGTCAGAACAGAGGGCTATCTGTTATTGTTAATTGAATATTTTTGATTATGGTATTAAGTTGGTCGGAGTATTACAGTGTGTCTTTTTGGGCATGAGTTCATTTAGGCAGCTTCTCTTAATATGGGAACTAACTAGCACATGCTCACACACTCACAAGCCTCCTTTATCGGCGTTGTGGTGAGCGACAGCTGCAAGCTGTAGCATCTATTCAAAGAGTTCACAGTCTTTTGGGGGGGTGGTGGAAGTGAGGAATATAAGAAAAATGGCATGAATTTTGATATCTTTTTCACATTTAAGATTCTCTGGAAAAGGATATAATTTGAATTAACATGAAGTCTTTCCATGAGACTATAGAAATATAAACATGATTTATTGCTGGAATAGATGTTTTTCAGTTCTCAGGCAAAGACAAGAAGTATTCAACAAGTTTGGGGAGTGGATGGTTGCATTATCTCTGTGAAACCACATCATATTCTCGGGCACAGTGAGGGGCTGTGAGTTAAGTGGAATCAACACTGGATGGAGAGAGGAAGACCTGGATTCAGCTCCAGTTCTGTCATTAACAACCTATGTGGTCTTCAGCAGGCATCTACCTCCCTGAGCCTGAGCCACAAAAAAGAGGGGTTGAGCTGTGAGGTCCTTGTGAGCTCTGAAATACTATTATTTTATGAAAAGACAAGATTTCAATTTGTTGTTATCTTGAGTTGCTCTAGAGCACTTGAATCTCATAGTTGAACTCCCTGAAATCTGTGTTCCATGTTCCATTCATGAAGGCATGGGGCTTCCAAACCCATCACAACATCCTGGATACACATTGGGATTGTGCCGCTGAGAAATAAAGTCAATGCTTAGAATCCACTTTTGAATTCTTCTGAATTTTACTTTCAGGATCAAGAGCAGGATATTCTTGATTTATTTCATCTTTTCCCCTTGCAGTGTGACAGATATTCAGGCAATAATTCAGGTAATAATAAGACCTGTGCTTTTGAGTTTTCTCCCCTAAATTCAGTTTAATTCTTTTTCTATTTTATTTTTATACCAATAATTGTTATTATTTTCTTTCATCTAGGAAGTCCTGGGAAGCACTTGGGCCAGTTGAATGAAGATGACCTAACAGAGAGGACCTTGTTTAGTTGAATTATTTACTCATCATTTAAGCCACGTCATTTCTATGATCTTAATTTTCCCAAATATCGTCTTCCCACATCATGGTCTATAGGCATTCTAGGAAGCCTACAACCAAAGCAAAGAGTGGAACATTTAGCAAATAATATCAAAGAGAAAATAAAACAAAGCAACTTTTACTGTATTTGTGCTTTCAAAAGACAGGGGTACAGGGCATACTATATATATATATATATTTTTTTTTTTTTCTTTAAGATTGACACCTGAGCTAACATCTGTTGCCAATCTTTTTCTTTTTCTTTCTTCTTCTCCCCACAGCTCCCCAGTACATAGTTGTATATTCTAGTTGTGCTGCGTGGGATGCCACCTCAGCATGGCTTGATGAGCAGTGCTAGGTCCACGTTCAGGATCCGAACTGGTGAAACCCCAGGCCACCAAAGTGGAGTGTGCAAACCCAACCACTCTGCCATGGGGCCAGTCTCCCAGGGCATACTGTATTGTGATGCTAACATATGCAGCCTGAAGGGGAAAATATGGGGTGTTAATAATGTTGATATAAGTTGTATTAGCTGAATGTCACATTATATTTTGGTGCTTTGGTTCAAAAACAAAATTATCACCTTATCACAAAGTTTTAGCATCTTGGAGGAACATTCATTTGAAAAGCTATATAATAATAAACATTTTTGTTTCTTCCCACAACTAGCTGGTGATGATTTTGTGAGTCCTTTCTCTTAAGATTAGGATTTCTTTCACATTCTGGTCTCCTCTAGAGGTCGATTCATGAAGTCTTGAATAGCCTGATGCAAAGGAAGCCATTTTTTGATAGACATTTTCAGAGCTGTAATCCAGCTGCAGAAACAACAGTGCAGGACAGGTGATTAAAAAAATTGTTGGACTCTAGGGAAATGAAATGTTACAAAGTCTTTTAAGTTATATTGTATTTTTTTCTCTTGGTTATTTAGTTTGAAATTAACAAGGTAAACCATGCTTTTTGGGTTTCAGATTGAACAAACAAGTAAAATGCCAAATGTGAAATACACAATGGTAGCCATGAAGTAAAACTATGTTGATGTAAATAATAGGATCAGAAGAGGGTACAATGTTTGTTTATAGGGACTAATGGAGCTACATGGATTTTAAGATTAGTAGTAGTATTTTACTGCGTCTATTTAAAATTTAGTTGATCAAACATATAGTAATCAAATATTGCCATTAGGGCAAAATATTTCTGCATTACTGTTAACCACAGCAAGCTCTCCAGTTAACTCTCTTCTCCTCTCCCTAATTTTCATTTTCTTGGATGATGTTTTGCAAAATGTACACACATAACATTTATTCTAGGGGATGGTTAATAGATGTTATTTTTTTGAAAAATGGTTTGGGTTAGATAAGCTTAGGTAGTGGGAGTTATGCAGAGTTAACCAGGATTCTTTCCAGCAGAGTGTTTCAGAAACACTAATAATTACTTTGTGTTTCTCTGAGTGTGGAATATGATTTGGATCATTTCCTAAACTTAACTATTCTTTGGGAGTAGGGTATCTTGTGGAACCAGTGTTCCAATAACCATACTTTGTGAAACTCTGCTCTTATGCTTTGAAATATTTTTCTAGTGACTCAATATTGTGTCTTATTGATAATATCCACTCATGAGTTTGGCAATGAGATTCAACTATTCAACCTCCTCTCTTAGAGAAGCCAGTGGATTTTATCAGATAGGAGTTAACTCTATTTCACTGACCCTTTTACTAATATGCCAGCTGGAGCTTCACCTTCAAAGGAACTATCTTAAACTGCCACCCAGATTGTATAGCACATACCCAAGGAAGAAGATCTTGGCAAAATATCTAGCAATTCTATATTCATTATCCTCCCACTCTAGCCTATGCTTAGTAAGGAGTGGAACAGGCAAGGTTTACATAACGAGAGAAGGCCTAGAGAGATCCCTTCGCCTCTCCCCAAATGGTATTTTGCTGGAGATCCTGAAATTCTACTTTTGGAGTTGTATTTCTTTGGGTTAAAATAGTGTATCTGGTTCTTGCAAATGCCCCTGGAAATTTTACCATGTCTTCTGTTTTAACAAATTACCGTGAATTTCTCTATTAGATCCTTTTTACCCAGAGAGTTGGGAGAAAGCAACTAAATGAGGTGAGAGATGGTCACCAAGTAGCTGAGGGTAGGAATGGGAGATGAGGGCACTGGATGTCTTAGAGATAGGAGTTAAGTCAGCGAGACATGAGAGATGATGGAGGATGCTCTAGGTACCAGACAACATTTCTGCTCCATGGTTTTGTCTCTGTTAACTTTCCTGCTTTTTTTTTTTCCAGAACCAAATTATGAACCAGATGCCCATTAGTGCATGCCGAGCTGGATACTGAACATAATGAATTTGATAGGTGAGTCCTATGTCCTTCAATGACTTTTAACAAAATCAAACAACTGACCAGATTCAGATGGACATATCAATAAGAGTTATGTGAAGGGAGGTGAAACAGCAAATCTGTGAATTAATAAACTAGAATATTTACAGGTTACGGTCTTAGTGAATTTTTTATGTTGAAGCCTGAGTCAGCCACTGCCTTGGGAAGAATTGGAGACTCCTTTTTCATTTGAAAAAGATACTTCTGGAAGAATCATCTATGCATTGAAAGAAAAAAAATATCCTGGGGAATATTAACTATGGAGACTATGCAAAGAAAGGAAGAGATTTAATTGAAGATGTGGAGTTGAAGTTGAAAAATAAGGATAAGCCTTTGCTAAGAAGGCTCTTGTCAGGACAGATAAAGAAGAAGAAATATGCAGACCTTGACTTACCGTTGGTTTTCTGTCTTATTTTCTGCACAGAAATAGAAAGTCTTGAACTCTTCAGATGGAGGTTTGAGTTCAATTACTGATTGCTTGAAGCTAAGGATCTGCTCGTTCACCCTATATCCTTGCAGATATAGGCCACCTACAGAGGGTGAGAGCAAAAGGCAAGTGAGGAGAACAGGGAAAGCGTAAGATGGAGAAAAGGAGTCTGAAAAGGTGTCAAGAAAACTTTCTATCTGAAGAAACCTCTAGTCCAGGTGTCTCAATTTACCAAGGAAGAAACTGAGACTCCAAAAGGATATGTAATTTAAGGTCATCCACTAATGATTAACGGCAAGAATGGTAGCAAAGTTTGCATTTCTTGGTTTTCATTTTTTCAGTCTCTTCACTACTTGTTCAGTGTTTAGCTTAGAGTTACTGAGGGCCTAACCTAGCTTCTTTACCTGGAGGACACACTTTGAAGTAAATTTTTCAGTATCAAAGAATGATACTTGTAATATCATGTTAGAGGAAAATCAAATGATATTTGCTTGGGCAGAACCATTAAGAGGTCCTTCCTGAAGAATAATGAAGACAGCCAGAAGTTTCTGCAACCAACATAGATCCCCACCTTTCTTGGGTATATGCAAAGCACATTTAAAATATGAACCCACAGGGTGGTATGAGGGAGTCAACCTGAATTAAAATAAGAAGAAAATGATTGGTTTTAAAAGATAATTTTCTCCCCATGGTCCTTTGAAACTGTGTTAGTGGTTACATACTGCTTGGCCTGAATTTTGTTTCCATTATTTGGGGGTTGGGAGGAGGACATCAGTCTAGGAGAAGGTGCTTCTCCTAGAGTCAAAACCCTTGTGTGTTTTTATGGTGTCTGGATGCTCTGAGGTAACCTGAATCTCATGCAGAGACTCTAGGTAACATCATTAAGAGTGATAATTAGATGTTTAAACCTCTTCCTTGCTCTTCCTGCCTCTTGTTCTTACCCCCTACTTGCCCCCAGGAGCCACTTTTAGTGAATTGTACTAACAAGGAAAACACCAAAATACAACCTGGATTTTTGCTACATACCCAATAACAATTCTCTGCCAATGTGTTAATAAGGGGCTGTGAAGGGAAAATTTGGTCCCTTTGAATATGGCTGACTTTGTTTTCCTTTGGGTTACACTTGATACCAATGTACACTGTCAGGAAGTCAAATGCTTTTCTTTTTAAACAGAATGAGTGACTTTTGAAATTTAAAAATTGCTTATGTTATAGACGGGGGTTAGATGCACTATTAAATTCTTTTTTTATTTTCATTTAAAAAGAGCCAGTTTTAGAACTAACTTTTAGGAAAGCAGTCATTTTAGAAATGGCTAGGTTGTTTTTCCTTTAGTAGGTCCTAGTAAAACGGTGTTTGTCAAAATCAGAGAGTGACTTCTTTCTTTGGCATATATATATATAAAAACATATTTGGCATATATATATATAAACACTGTTATTGAGATATAATTTACATACCATAAAATTCACCCATTTAAAGTGTACAATAAATGATTTTTAGTTTATTTATGGAGTTGTGCAACCGTCACCATAATTTAATTTTAGAGCATTTTCGTCACCTCAGAAAGAAACTCCATACCCAGTGGAAGTCACTCCCCATCTGTTGCCCTATCTTAACTCTAGACAATCCTATCCCACTTTCTGTCTCCATAAATTTGCTTTTCCTGGGCCACAATATATATGAAATTATATATATAATATATATAATATGTGGTCTTTGGTTACTGGCTTCTTTCACTTAGCATGATGTTTTCAAGGTTCATCCTTGTATCACGTATGAGTACTTCATTCCTTTTTATCACTGAATGATATTCCATTGTATGGATATACCACATTTTATTTATCCACTTTTTAGTTGATGGACATTTGAGGTTTCTTTAATTTTTTGACTATTATGAATAATGCTGCTATGAATATCATGTACAAGCTTTTGCATGGACATTTTTGGGTATATGGTAGAAGTGGAATAAGCAATGTGCTAGATGGGCAGGCCTATAGGATATCTAGAAACACAGCTGAGAGTTATTTTGCTGTCTTAATTCTCTGCTCCAAACAATAGTACACAGCCATTTTGTTACTGTACTGATTTCTGGCTTCTTCCTCCTTGTGAGATTTCCTTTTCTCATGTGTCTGAGCAGATATGAATACCCTCCCCTATCTCTACCCATTTTGAGAATGGATAGAAGATTTGGTCCAGAAAGTATCTGCTACAAACAGGAAAGTTTCTGACCAGTTATAAGGTAGAAATGATTGTCAGTAAAGACATCCAATTATAACCCCATTACCTCATTTGAGGTGACCTCATTGGGCCAGTCTCTATCTGCTATTAGGTAGCAGCAATAAATAGCAAGCTGGCACAGTGTTTGGACAGAGATTTCTCTCAAGAACTGTGCAAGCATTATGTGTTCCATTTGCTGCAGTAACGTAAAAGATATCTGAGAAGTGCACACAGACTTTCATGTGATTTATTCAAGAATGATAGTTACCAGTCACAATTGGTTACTTACAGCTCTTGCTAGAGAGAGATAACACGAAAAAAATCATCACGCGTATGGTGAATGACAAGGGGCTTCAGGCCTGTGAAGAGGCACTTGAAAAGAGGGCTTCTGGAATACTTACACTGTGGCTTTTTAATATTAGCAGGCATAAGAAAGCCAGTAATCCATATTGTTAAAGTACTAGCACTTTCCTTAACAGTAAGGAAAGACTTCAGGGAATGGACTGGGGCTAAATCCCACGATGTACATTAGAGCTATATTCAACCAGCTGCAAGTGAAATATGGGATTAGCCTCTAATGTGGTTTTTACAGGAAATCATGCCTATGTTGCTTCTTGTGTCTTGCTCTTTCCACTCATCTCACTGTTATCTTTTCTCTGCCTTTTCTTTGTTGTCCTCAGTATTGTCTTGGCATCTCAGGTGACTGTTATAAGAAAGACACCATGCCCAAAATACTACAGATACCTTCAGAAATAAGAAGTAGCATATGAGGTCTCCCAGATCTGTCATAAAGAACATAAATCAAAGGAATAAAATAAATAATAAGTAAAAATAAAACAGGAAAGCAACTGAGATGCTACGGCCAGGGGACTGTGTCTTTATGAAGTGGTGACCAAGGAAGCCTGTGGGTCTTAACAACAAAGCAACTAATATGGTAGGCATATTACAAAGACAATTGAAAGGAAAGGACTTTCTTTAAATACTCTAAGATTTTTAACATAAAACTGACGAAATAAGCATATAAGCAGAGACAGTGTTTTGTGCATTAGTATTTTTCCAACTTTTTTGGCCCTGATCCACAGATGTAATAAATACAGACCTCTACATGTTTTCATACAATTAGGCTAAAGTTTTGTGAAACGTTGTGATATACCATGATATTTTCTATTCAATTAAATTCTATTCTGTTGTATTTTTAAATCTGGTCACAACCTACTAAACTGATCACATGACTCAGGAATGGGGTCAAAACCTGCAGCTTGGTAAATACTGCTATAAATGGTAATCAAGCCCTGCTTCAAGGTTATGACCTTCACAGGGCTGGAGAACGAGAAACCAGATCAGGGTGGAATGTGCAAGAGCCAAGCAGAGCTTGGACAGTACAAGGAAAGGAAGAATTACAGATTAGAGCAGTCTGAAGCTCACCCACTTGGTATATTTCAGTTCTAGAAGAACTGAAAATGAGTGTTAGAGCTCTTTATAATCTTTATGAATATAATAACGATTCATATTCCATGCATATAATGATGATTAAGTTAAACAGTATTTTAGTGCTGTAGTGTTCATGGCACAGCATGGGTTCGGCCACTCTCAATAAATTTCTCTGCCATCCTCACAACTCCTATGGCTCTTGTGATAAAGACTTGTGCTGGGTGGACTCTGGCTATTGCAGTCAGTGTGCTGATATCCAGAGTGCAGAGACCAGACACACAGCACTACTTTAAGAAGGCTAATTTCTGCCAGGGTGTGCCTCACATGGCATTGTGGCTAAGAGTTTGGGCACAGGATTCAGATAGCATTTGTTCACATTTTTTCTCTCTCACTTAATAGCTGGGTGACCTTCAGCATGTTAGTTAACTTCTCCAAGCCTTAGTTCTCAGTTATAATGGGGATTCTCATTGATAAAAACAATGGATTTTTTTGCAAATATCCATTTTAGATAATGAGCGTAAAGTGCTTATCCAAGTCTTGGACACACAGGGAGCATTCACTAATACATGCTAACTTTCCCACTCCAATACACCTGAGCAGTATGACCCGGTCCTCTGAAAAAATGTGGCTCCCCAGAGCAGTGATTCTTAGTGGCGAATAGAGAGGGGCACAGTTATTTTGGGAATTTCCCACAGGAGATTTGGACATGCCTTGACCCTATCTTGGGTTTCATTGTGCCGGATCATTGGCTGTAAGCCTCAGGTCATGATCCATGTTAAAATGCACAAGAAAGTTGAGAAGGACTCTTAGCAAAAGGGTAAATCTCAATTTCAAATTTAAATCTCGGGAAGGGTAAAGGACTTCAGAAGGGCTCCTGCATAGCCAGCTTAATGCGGAAGAAGGGTAAGCAGGTGATTAACCCTGGGAGAGCTTCCATCTGGACCCAGCAGCTGTCAGGGTCAGAGTGTGGAGGGGTGGCAGGAGAGTGCACCTTGGAACAAGGTACATGCTCAGGGAAGTGGTATTTTTAATTCAAGGAAGAGTAGTCATGTAAAACCAAAAATCACAGGCCTCTATTTGGAACCTGGCCAGATATAAAATTTCTGTTGGAATTTTAGTAAGAAAAATGTTCTTTTAATTCATATTTGTGATAATTTCTGCCAGAAAGAAGGGTTTTAGGGCAAAGTATAAGATCCTAGAGTGCTCTGGAGGCAACAAAGAACCATGGAAGGTTCTGGAAAGATATATGAAATGATGAGAGCTGAATATAAAGAAGACTTCCATTTTTCTCCTCATCTATTTTTTCTTTTTGTTGGTATAACTTAGGCTATCTGGGTTCAAATTCCTTCTTCACCATTTACTAGCCAGGGGAACTTGGGTAGATGATTTAACTTTACTAAGCATCAGTTTCCAGACTTGTAGGTGGGATAATAACCTATCTTATAAGATTGTTGTAGAAATTAAATGAAATGATAAATAAAAGCACTTCACAGAGTGACCAGTACAAAAGCTGCACTCACTAAATGACAACTATGCTTGGGCTGTTATTATTTTCAGGCCATTTAATGGTAGCCCTTGCCCAGCTCTCTAGGACTTTTCTAAGTAGGGCTTCTGAACTTTCAGGATAAGGGAAGCCACCCAAGGGCTGTCATTACTATTTTAAACTCTTGGAATCAGCAGCAGTCTCTGGGCCGCAGGAGTTTGGAAGCACTTCGTTAATACTTCAGAGTTTGGAGTAATCTGAGCTTTCAATCCTAAATATTTGCTTTCTACCCTTGGAAATAATCTCTTGAAAATGAACTTCATTGATTTCATAATTAAAATTGTTCAGACTTTTGCAGTGATGTTTTATAATGAAAATCTCAGTCAATGACTGCTTGCAGGTTTATTTTGTTTACCTTCCTTCCCATCCTGGTATCAGATGCTTAAAGCTGTGGGTTTGGGGTTGAATAGAAACAGCCTGTTCTGTAAGTGCTTAGAGATGCCGGCTATCTCTTAATAGTTGAATAAGATTCTGAGTCATGTTTTAATACTCTCAAACTAGAAGGCGAGTAAGTGGAAGAGAATCATTATATTGTTCATTCTGAGTGATGAGAAATGAACCATAGTGTGATGCTCGCCTTGTACCTCTTTTGTACCCTTCCAAGAAGGTTGCAATGGTCACCACATACTTCCTTCCCATTTGGCATGGCTGTATAGCTTAATTAAACATAAGCATTAATGCTAAAAAAAGAAATTAAATAATTGAGATTCCAGAATGTTCACTATTGCTAATTATTATTATTTTTTTAAAGATTGGCACCTGAGCTAACATCTGTTGCCAGTCTTTTCTTTTTTTTCTTCTTCTCCCCAAAGCCCCCCAGTACAGAGTTGTAGGTCCTTCTGGCTCTGCTGTGTGGGACTTGATGAGCGGTGCTAGGTCCACGCCCAGGGTCCGAACTGGCAAAATCCTGGGCTGTGGAAGCAGAGGACGCGAACTTAACCACTTAGCCACGGGGCCAGCCCCCACTACTGCTAATAATTTAAAGATTCTTCATTTGGGAAAAAGTCCAGCTGCAAATAAACTACCGATAATCTCTTGTGTCAAAAATTACAAGGGGGCTAAACAATCTTTCTTGTAAAAATCAGGCACAATTATTTTATTACTAAATTATATTGTTTATATACTTATTTTGTATATATAGCTTTTAATATATATAATTTAATAAATATATAATAAAATGTATGTATATAAGATATACATACATTTATATCTTATATACATACATTTTATATAGGGAGAGGTTTTTAGAGAGAGAGATTTATATTAAGATTTCTATATTTATATAAAGCTTGTCACTTCAATGGCAATTATCTCATTTAATCTTCACAATAGTCCCGTGAAATAGATAGCTATTTCCATTTTATAAATGAGGAAACTAAGTTTTAGGAAGCTAAGTAACTTGCTGAAGAAAAATTGACAGTTAATTGACAGTTCTTTTTGTTACTCACTTGTCCAAGATTAGGGATACTACGAGAAAAGGGTGGAGTCACTACCCAAGAAAACTATTGGCATTGACTCTGAATGTCATCAATGACTGAGAGAATGAAGGAGTTTATCTTTTGCTTTTACTGCCTGGAAAAGCATGGGGTTAAGCGTATAGGCTCTGGAGTTAGCTTGGCTGTGTTCAGATCTCAGCTTTGTTGCTTACTACAGTGACCTTGTCAAATTATGTAGACTTTCCAGCCAGTTTTCTTATCTGTAAAATGGGAATAATAATAATACCTCTTCTCTGGAGGCTAAATGAACTAATTTAAGCAATGCACACAGCTCAAGGCTTGGTAAAGTCTCCATAAAGCTAAGATGTCATTACTGTCATTATTGTAATTACTATTATTCCAAGTGAAAGTTGAGTCCATACCTGAGGCCTGGGTGGAGCGAATGCTAGAATAGAAGTAAAGGCAGCCATCCTTCAGAATGCAATAGTGCTGGACCCACATGTCCGTGCTTCTGTCTAGTTGGTGCAGAAGGCCCAGGCACTCTGGGTTCTTGATGGCCAGGGGTGGGAGGCTACTGTTGTGCAGTGTAACGTCTTCCCAGACATGGTTCTGCAGGTGTGGCACAAAGGGATCATCTGAGCAGTCATCCTTTGCCAGTGGTCATCGACTCCCAGAACTGATGGCATCAGCACCAAGGCTGTTTGACTTCAAAGAAGCCGCTGCCCTAAGAGATTCTATTGCTGAGGCAATGTGAGTACTTGAGCAACTAGCCTGAAATCCTGACTTTATCCATTAGCCATAGAGAACTTCTCTCTTTTCATGTCCACTGACATCCCTTCTCTTTGGCTTCTGTTCTATGTGAGGAAGTCAAAAGAATATGAGAGATGTATAGAAAGGAAATGAAAATGGGCACCTCAGCAAAAGCTATTTTTAATGGCTCTGTCTATATGTACAGGCCCTGATGTGCTATTTCACTCACCATTGGGATTGTCCTCCTAGCCCTGTTCCTGGTGTATCCACTGTGACTAATAGCAGCCCCTGGTTCATGCTTTACTTTGTCTAGAACTCCCATTTATGCAAAGGAACAAGTTAAATGCCCCAGGCTAGATCCAGCCTTAGGCTCTCACGGTCAGTGATGTGGAAGACCCATGATAAATCAAGATCCTCTACTCTGGAGAGCAGCCTTCGGTGCACAGCCCTGAGAGGCAGGCTTTTCCTGGGAACTTGACCTGAGGCAGCGAGCATGGTGCTTCATCTCTTTATCAGAACGCCCTGCTGGGTGTTGGCCAGTTTCTCTTCTTTATTTGGTTTCATTTTTGCTCTTTAGTTTTAACAAGACAGTGCCAAAGATTTCAGAATGCAGAGCTGACTGTATGTTGTGCTGTGAAGTGGGAGCCTGCTGGGAGTTTGGGTGTTCCTTTTACACTCTGCTGCAGATACTCTGAGTGCATTAGCAGAATAGATCCCTCTTAAAAATATCAAGGCTCATTAGGATGACGCACTGGAGAGATGGATGAGTGCATTGAGCGTTGTGTTCCAGGTAAAATGAAACACAAGTCCTGCTGTTTGTCATAAGATGATCCAGGGACTGTTCTGAAAGGACAGTTACAAGGCACAGGGCAGTACATTTCAGCTCAAAAATCCAATTTTCCTGAATGTACAAGAATCAAAACATGTACAGAAGATAATTGATAGCAAATACCTCTTGCTTGTATGCTATTTTGAGAGGAAATGAACATGTTTAAAAGGAAATCTATAACCTTATTAGAAATCATATCCAAAGCATAAAAATGAAACAAGTGAGTATTAAAGCAACCCTCCCCGCCTCCCCACCCCCATCCCACACCGCGTGCCAAGCCAGGTCATAGCACTGGCTCAGAAAGAGGGTATCAGATGCCTTGGGGGCTGAAGTTATGGCTCATGTGTTGATGTTATGAAGTTATCTATCAGTTTATAGGACAAGTCTCAATTAAAAAATATATTGCTTCAAGGCTAGGAATCGTGAATAGGCAGAATTGGTGAAATTTGGCCTAATACATCTCTGGAACAAGGATATGAACGTAAAGCACTGCATTTCTGAACATGAGACATTCATTTTCTAATAAGCTGCTCGGCCGACAGCACTATCCCGATGTCCCTGAGAGCTTGTACTGAGGGAGTGCAAAGAAAACAGAAGCAGTGATTTAACTTCACGGGGAACAACCGGACTGCTCCGTGTGGAACAAATTCCATCCCGGTTTGTGACTACCCACCGAGCTCACTGAGAGAAATGTCATACAAACCCCTGAAAGTAAAAAGAACAGCAGGAAAGCAATCCTCCCCCTGGAATCTGAGTGGGAAACCCTGTTGACTTAAAATCCTCTTTCTCAGCTTTGAGAGCAGATCTGAGAAGTCCCAGGGCAGACTGCATGACATCTAACTTGGTCCTTTCTACCTCTGAGGAGAAAAGCAGAATGAAGGGAGGGATAAATATCAAGGACAACTTACCTGGCGGACAGGATGCACTGCTTTGTCCATTGCCTCAAGCCATCTGAAAGACAGTAAAATGAGCGGCGCTCTCCTTAAGGGGCTGGGTAAGTGTCACACGGAGGGGCCTGTTCTCCCTAAAACCCGTCGTTCAGACAGAACAGTCCTGAGGCTCAGATATATTTCACTGCTCTAAGTTCAAGGTTGAAGGGCGACACATTCTTACAAAATTGACATTACTAGGTGGCAAAAACCCACTCCCATTGGGCATATTTAAAGTAAATTATTCTCATTCTCCTCCTTTACTATAGTTTAATTAGCGCCTAAAAGAAAATTCGTTCACTTTTTATTTTACCCAGGTATGTGAATTTATTAACACCAGCAGGGCTGATGATAATTGGTATATTAACAGTAAGACACTGGCTATTAAAATAGGGAAAGACTGGTAAATAGTCACTGTCTTGAGCCTGTCCCCAAGTGTTCTTTGAACATAGTGGCGACCTTTAGAGCACCATTAGTGCTGCTGCTTGAGCACTGGATTTTCTTAGTCTTGTCTCCTTAGCCAGGTACCAGCCTATCTACCACACCCCATCTTGTCAATCTTCTTCCGTTTTCTTTTAAATCCCCTGACATTCAATCAAACATACTGCTTGCTCTTCTCCCCAAAGCTTGACTTATTCCCTCTGCCCTCTTCTGTTCCCTTTCTTCTTTGGTTTGCTTATCTGATCCTATACCACACCTTTCATAAACTCCGCCATCATCCCACATCCAGAGACCTTCTCTCCCTACTCTCAACTCCTGTGCCACTCTGTCTTCTTCTATAGCACTTCTTGATTTCCATTTTGCATTAAAAATATTGGAATAAATGACCTATCTTCTTGGCTTAAAGCTTTTTCGAAGGCAAGAATTGGCGCTTAATCAATCTAATGGCTCGCAGAGAATTCAAAACAGTGTCTTAGACATATTAGCTATCCAATAAATATTTTGTCCATGAATTGAAATACAATCAAGCCACTATTATCATATTTCTCTGTTTGTCCTTTAAGCAACATGCATTTGAATACATAATGTTCCACAAATAGAACAGTATATTGTTTGCCTAAGAGGTTTCAGACCCAGGCCTCTCTTGAAAACTGGAGCTGAGTCCAAATCCTCTTAAAGAGATATGCCACTGACACTCAATGCTATAGACCCATTACCTTTTTGTCATTGTGTGTCTCGCAGCCACTCCATGTCATCCCTCACCCTAAATGAGCAGTTACTTACACAACAGTTTTCAGTAGACTCACTGGATTGACCAATGATCTCTGTTCCCTCAGGGTGATACATTGAATAATGATCAGAAGTCGCTGAATGCTGGGAGTTTGCAGGCTACCCTCTTAGAATGCCTGCACACTTCCCCCCTCCACTTGGGTTGCATGCTTACAAAACGTCAGCTCGATTCCTTGCCCACAAAGCTCCATTATTATTATTTATTTTGCTCATCTCACTGTGGTGTGCTAAATGGTAACTCTACTACGTTATTTTTATACCTGGGACTATCCATCCAATTAGCTTAAAATATATAAATCTGGTAACTTTTTTTGGGAGGCTAGAGCATTGAGCTTTTTTAGAAAATGTGGAGATATAAAATAAATGGGTTAGGAGAAGGTTCTGTTCTTTAGAAGTTCTGTTAGAAAAAAGCTGGGGGAATAGTGAAGAACCAAACTTCTCATACCTAAGAAAAAGACAGTTTATTGACTTGTGCTATGCGTTTGCTTTTCCCTTCCCTACTTCCAGTCCCAAGAGTCTGTAAGCCTGTTGTTGAAAAAGCATTCCCCTACCCAAAGTGAAACTGGTAAAATGTTAACGAGCCACCTTTTCATTTCTTGGTTTGAGGTTGCACAGAGGCAAAAAGTTCTCTTTCCAGACTGAGGCACACAGTTAAACACAAATGGTTTTCCCAAGCTGTGATCGATGCCAACTTCTGCACCTTCTAATTTTACCACCTCCAGAGGCAGGCTTTTTCCTTCGTCCTGTAATTGATAAGAAATAGGTTCAGCATGGGTGCCGCAACTAAGCAGACAAGGGAGAAAATGAGAGTGGAAAGGAGGCCCATAGCTATTTTTTTAAATTGATTGTTCTGAAATGAAACTAAAGTCAAAATGAGTTTTCATAGATTATGTTCTCCATGATATATTCCACCAAACTCCATATTTCCCACTACGATACTTTTCCATAACCGTTTTGAATTGCCTCTGTTAATATGCATCTTATTTATGCCGATTTGGGAAAGTATCATTAATTATTAATACCCATTTTTTCCTATCAGCAAAAAAGAACATCAAAAGAAACTGATATTACAAAATATATGTGGTTGGTAGTGACATGAGATCTCCAGTCAGCGTTTATAATTAACATGTATCCCATGCTTGTGGTGTGTCAGGCCCTTTTTCTAAATTCTTTATATCTATTAATTGGTTTATCTTCACAAATGTCCGCAAGGTAGTTACTTTTATCTTCTCTATTTTGCAGATCAGGAAACTACAGGATAGAGAGAATAAAGAACATTTTTCTTTAAATGATAGTAGTTTAAAATATTATGACATGTATGCAAGACTAAAATTATTTTACAGGTAAATATTTTATTTATATTTATTTTACAATTATATCTCAAAACACCCTGTCCATTATTCATGTCTTTTCTAAAAACAGCTACACTGAGGTATAACTTACATACCATAAAGTCACTCATTGTACATATATAATTCAGTGACTTTTAGTAAATTTATAAAGCTGTGAAACGATTGCCACAATCCAGTTTTCGAACTTTTCCGCCAACCTCCAAATTTTCTTTGAGTCTGTTTGCAGTCAGCTGCCACTTTCGCCTCTCCAATTACAGGCAATCACAGAGCTGTTTTCTGTCCCTATAAAGTTGCCAATTCTGGACATTTCATACAAGTTGAATCACACACTATGTGGCCTTCTTTCACTTAGTGTAATGTTTTCAAGTTTCATCCATGTTGTAGCATCCTTTTTATTGCTGAACTTTATTCTATTATACGGGTGTGCCTAATTTAGTTATCCATTCAGAAGTTGATGGAGATTTTTCTTTCCAGTTTTGGGCTATTTTTAATAATGCTTCTATGAAAATTTGTGTACAGGTCTTTGTGTGGACAACTGTTTTCATTCTCTTTGGTAGATTACTAAAAGTGAAATTGCTGGGCCATATGGTAAGTTTATCTTTAACTTTATAAGAAACTGCCAAACTGTTTTCCAAAGTGGCTGTACCATTTTACATTCCCACCAGCAGTGTATGAGCGTTCCAGATTCTCCACACCCTCACCAATACTCTGTGATTCTTGTTTTAATAATAGCCGTCCTACTGGCTGTGTAGCGGTATCTCCTAGTGGTTTTAATTTGCATATTTCTAATGACTGAAGATGTGGAACACCATCTAGTCCAGAGGTTCTTAATCAATTCTAGCTAATGAATTCCTTTGAGGTACTGATGAAAACTATGGACTCTCTATGCCCATATGCAGAAAATTTCTTGCAACTCACGGGTGGATGGATATAAAGATATTCTTCAACTGAAAGTAACCTCTCATAGATGTATGGCACTTTACAGTTTTAGTTTATAAAACATTTTTACGGACTCTGTCTTTTTTATTCTTCACAACTACTCTATGAAGTAAGAAGCTGATGTTATCCCCATTTTCTAGAGGAAGAAACTGAGTTTTAATGAGATGTCTTAAGATTACATAGACAGAGATAGAACTTAGGCACTGGTTTTTGGCTCTGTCTTCCACACTACTTCTCTCGCATGTCTGGCTTCCTGGGCCACTGCAACTTGGGAGATTGCTGGCTCCTAGAGTCAGCAGTTGAAGGCTGTAATAGCCAACATTTTAGGAGACAGAGTATTTCCTGAAGCCACCAGCTTTCCTGGAATAGAGGCAGAAATCCAGAATTTTGATCTGTTTTAGTAAATATAAGGAAGGTAGCACATCTTATAATAATTGTATATGACCAATAATATGACATTAGAAATCAGAAGAGTATATTTTTATTTGCTTTAATAAGGATAAAGACTTTGCATGCCTATAAAGAGTGGCTTATTATTTATATCATTTTCCCAGGAGCGTCTTAAACTACAAAAGAAATGGGGAAACATAAATAAAGCCTGGGGATTTTATTCTATTGGCAAGTGACAGATGTATTCATTTGCTAAGAGCAAGTACATGCTGGATCTGCTTTCCTTTGGGCCTGTTATGCAGATAAGATGATATAATATGTTGGTCTCTCAGTATCAGCATTATTAGGTCACTCTGGAACTACCAGTGTTCTCCCACATTCTTTGCTATAGGAGAATACAAAGGAGTACACGCATATGGCATATGACACACAACCAAGAATAGTGCTTGAAGTCCCTTATGAGGCTCTTTGCCCTCTGCTCAAGTTACAGCTGTGTGAGAAGAATGAATGATTGGTGAATGGACTAGATTAAAAACGAGGGCTACTGTCTCTTACATGTCCTCTATCATGGCCCAGATTCCATTTTTACTCATCTCAGCTGCTGCCTCATTGCCCGTGATTATGAGCCTGCTGTGGTCCTGGGAGCAGCTGTGAGAAAACCATGGCTGCAGAGCCTGTGGAGCAGGTGTGGGTGCTCTTGCAGCTGTGCTTACTCATCTTACTCTTTTTCCTCGGTTTCACGAGCCCAAGCACCATAAAGCTCCACTCTCGTGGAGATGCAGGGATTGGAAAAGGTTCTCCATTCAGTCTAATCCTAATGCTGCTTGGACTGTGGCTCCATATTCGCCAATGAAATGTTTTCTAGAGATAAAGGACAACCAGAATCCCTTTTCTATCTTACTGCCATGCCCTGGGGTTTTCACTCTTCCCCTAAGCAAAACTCAATCCCTCAGTTTGGCAATAATTCTTAAATGGGTTTTATTTGATTCTTTCCATTTGGCTCTGCCAAAAGTCTCACTTATGTCGCTGCTAGAAACAATAAGATTTCTTTAAGACTCTGGCTTCCCCACGACTTTATATTCTCCTGGAAAGTCATGGAAAGGCTCTAGCTCCAATTTTCTATTCCTGAGCCAACTCAGAGATCCAGCTGCTTCATGTGTGCAGGATTGATTAAAATAGCAGGGATGCTGAAGGGATTTACCAAGGAATTGTTTAGTGAGGTCCAGAAGCTATCGACAGAGAATAAAGGAACTTGGGCTATTTATGCCAGACGGCCTTGGATAATGTTGACATTGCCTAGCATGAAAATAAGGTTTCTATAGCAATAATACCAAAGGTCAGAGTGTTCAGAAAAGGGAAATAGTACACAATAATAATGACTAAAACCCAACCCAGGGTGAATCCACTTCTAAATTAAATTATTTCTATAAAGAAAAATACAGACAAGGACATTTGTGCCCGTCTAAAACTTGGGCTCTCTGGTAAAGTAAAATTACCTGCAGATATTCATGAGTTCCTTGCTTTGGTCAAAATTTTGGTTTGAACATGCTAGAAATTTTCTATTGCTATTGCTAGGCTCCTTTGTCTAAGAGAAGAGAAAAGGCTGGGACACTATACCAACAGGTTTTATTTTATCCGAAGGCACAACTATGAAACTTCACAAACTAAGAAGGAGGAAAAAGCCATCCTTAGCAATGAAAAAGAGCTAATTCTCAGTGGGGAAAACAGAGCCAAGATAAATTTAGAAGGAAAGAAAGCATGTCCTAAAGCAACTTACCACATGAAAGGGTACATGAAATACACATCTAGAGTGCTATATTTAAAGCTAGCAAGTTGAAGCAAAAATGAAGAATGAGTGTCTCTTGGAGCTGTATTAATGATGCCGAGAGCCCTTTATCTCTAGGCAGCAGTTTGGAGGCACCCTCTCCCCACTGGTGACTGAAAACCACCACTCGTTGATAGCTATGAGATGATGAACTCTGTCCCCATCCTAGCTGGTAGGATCACAAAGCAGCAAAGCCTGCAAAGGCAAGAAGGAGGAGAAGACACAAGAGTGTTTTCACTGTCGTGACCTTTGCTGTCATTGTCCTGTGATTAAATAGAAGACTTAAGATTATTACATACATGCATGTATTTGTTTATTTATGCTTTCCTTTTTTCTCTCCAGGTAGGCAAGAAAGGATGGACAAAGAACAGAGAATAGAAAGTGAGCATGCATGTCAGACCCTTGTTTGTGGGTGGTACTGGGTTCCCTGTAAAAGTTTAGTGAATTTAATATTTCTCTTTTTGTTTTTATGAAGAAATTGAGATGATGACAATTTCATTGGCCCCAAAGTTGCAGCACCTCTCTAGTCTGCCCCTGCTTTTGAAACGCTGCCTGGCTTACTTGTGACATCAGCAGAGGTTTGTTGTTGTTAGTCCTGTTGGGTTGATTCTGACTCCTAGCGATCCTGTGTACAGCAGGGTGGAACCCTGCCTGGTCTTTTTGCACCATCCTCTCACTTTCCAGCACTACATCAGACAACCTTCTGCTACTATTCATAGGGTTTTCATGGCCAATTACTTTGGAAGTGGGTGGCCAGGTCCTTCCTCCCTGTTGTCTTAGTCTGGAAGCTCTGCTGAAACCTGTCCACCATGGGTGACCCTGCTGGTATTTGAAATACCAGTGGTGTAGATTTCAGCATCCCAGCAACATCTGCAGAGGCAACTGGATACAGACTCAGCGTTTTGTGCTTTTCTTATCAGTTTGCCTGGAGTGGCGAACCATTTTTTAGGAGTGATAAATACGTGCTGGCAGCTCCATGCTGTTTCCTGGCACCAGGAAGACTCCAGGCTCCAGGAAACAGGGGTGGCTTTGGGGGCTGAAGGAGTTCATCTGCACACAGACCATTAGACTACACTGCACCCAGACAGACAGGCTTCCTGCTGGAAAGTTAGCCAAGTAGAGGGATGCTCATGATGCTGGGGTCCAGGCTGCCCAGGCTCTTCTCTCTTGGAAGAAGCACTTCTGGCCTCATTCACATGTCTTACGTTTCACCATTTTCCTTGGCTCCTAAACTGTCTCTTAGAGGATAACAACTACCACCCAATGCTTTCATTACAACACAAAGACTGTGAAGTAGTAACTCTGAGTCATAGTCATGACCTTGTTCAAAGTTGTCAAAAAATTACCAGGTTAACTATAAAATCAAGACATTCTACATCTTAAGCTCTGCAACTGAATGTCCTGTGAGGTCTCCCTCTGAACTCAGGGTATGGTTGGTTTGTAGATGGATTCTGGAGCCAGACGAGCTGGGTTTGAATCCTCACTGCACCACTTATTAGGTCACTAACACGACCTTGGGCAAGTTACTTATCTCTGTGCCTCAGTTTCCTTGTCTGTAAACTAGAGTTGTTATAAAGCATTGAGTTAATATATGTGTAAAGTGTTTGGAACACTGCCTGCATTTCATAAGTGATATACACGTTAGCTTTCATTATTACGTAGAACTTTGATGAAAATGAAGAGTAAGAACTTAGAAAATTAGTTAACAAAGAAGCATTAATATGTGTGACAGGGTAACTATTTAAAGTAAGTTCCTATATGTGTCTTTTTTTTCCTCCAAGAATTACAGGCTGCATGGACAAGGGGAAGGACTTAATTTCTTGGAATCTCAGTGTCCGCACTTGTAAAATGGGGTAACAGCGCCTGTCTTTGTGAGGATGAGAAGAGATCATCTGTGCAAAGTGTTTGGCACACAACAGCTGTACAATGAAGGTCCCTTCTTTCCCAGATCTGGGGTCCACTTTCAGTTTAGGTGCAAATGAAGCATCGCTAAACTCAGGGAAGCTGGGTAAGAAAATCTCCTGCTCCAGACCCAGCGATGGGTGTAACTGGCAGGGGGGCTAGGCTGGGCTGGGCCAGGCTAGGGCTGCGATGGAGGGAGAAGGCAGAGAGGGGAGGAAGTCTGGGCAACATCACTGTCGCATCTTGGAAGGCAGTTGTGATGATCTCAGTGGTTGGCTCCTGTGCCTGGATTCCAGTCATTCAGGTGACAGAGCTCATTTAATCCTCTCTACCATTTGCACAGAGATTTGGAGGGTTCAGTGCTTGCCTCTGGTTACACTTGGACTGAGAATCTCTCACAGCCACAGGTGGAGGCTGACTGCTGCTGAGAACCAGGCTCTTAGCACTGGCTCTCCATCCTTCTGTGATCACATCCTGAGAGACTGCCTTCCAACTGTTGCCAAACCCTGCCCCTGCTGCATTCACATCCTAGGTTTTAAAGAATTTCCCTCTCCTTACACCCACTCTCCCACCCTTCCCTCCACTAACGCTTATGGAGTGTATCTGTACCTTCTGCCAAACATTGTCTTGGGCACGAAGGCCCTACACGGCTTTAGCCTCAGACTGATTTCTTGGTCTCCAGCTTCTCTCATTCTTGACAACAATTCCTCAGTCCCTTTTCTGGTCATGTTCTTAGGCCCCTGGAATTTTCTAAACCCAGTGTGTCCATTATTACTCATGGTCCTTTGCCTGGCCCGTTCTGCCCCCGGCTCTGACTCTCATTATGAAAGGAGTGACCCGGTTGTCAGTGGATTCAGATGTTTGTCTACACACAACAATGGCCTACTCAGCATTTCTGAGTAGAGGAAGAGTGGCTCTCTTTCTCTAATCTTTTTGCAGATCCCTCACTTTTTCACTCTTGAAAAATTGGGATGTGTTATGAATTTAATGTTTTTGTTCCCTCCAAATTCGTATGTTGAGATCTTAACCCTCAATGTGATGGTACTAAGAGGTGGGGCCCTTGGGAGGTGATTAGGTCATGAGGGCAGAGCCTTCATGAATGGGATTAGTGCTCTTATAAAAGAGACTCCAGACAGCTCCATTGTGCCTTCTGCTTCATGAGGACACATAGAAAAGACAGCCATCTATGAACCAGGATGCAGATCTGCACCAGACGCTGAATCTGCTGGAGCCTTGATCTTGGACTTTCAGTCTCCAGAACTGTGAGAAATAAATGTTTGTGATTTAAGCCACCAAGTCCATGGTATTTTTGTTACGCAACCTGAATGGACTAAGGCAGAGTGAGAACCTGGAGTAAGAATTCTGTTTTTCCTTTGAAATAGCTCACCCCACACTTCTATTTCATTCCTACTGACACACTTTTGTCCAAGGCCTTGGCATCTCCTGCCCATATCACTGCAGCAGCCTCTTGGCTGAGCTTCTTGATGCCAGTGCAATCTTGACAATGTAACCCAAACCATCTGATATCGCCCACCCAAGGTTTGCATCCATGGCACTGCCCATGGTGCCAACTGCCAATTTATTGCCTCTCAGTTCCTAATGCGTCCTTTATTGCCTGATTTTGAAAATGGATCTGGGACTTTCAAATATTTTTCGTTTGCCAGTACAAAGCACTGGAGAGATGTTGCAGGAGGAAGGGTTCTTCTTCCTGATTGCTGTGGATAGTTCCAAAGGAGCCTGGAGGCTGATGTATTTTTCTCAGCTCCCCAGCCCTAGAGGTTTCGTCCAGTGCTGGTAGGATGCAGCTTCCCTGAAGGTCCTCCAGCTCTCAATTTGGGCAGTGGTGGCATAGTGAGGAGGCTCAGATGTGAGGCCTGTGCTCCAGCCCAGGTTTCTGCTCTGCATACCCTTGCCTCAGCCTTGTAGGGTTAGACATTTGGGAAACTGGCCCCCTGCTCCCCACCAGGCCTAAGAGGTATCCCAAAATACATTAGGTTCTTACCGAGGTAGGCTTTTCCGGCAACCAGTTCCAGCAGCATGCACAGTGGCACCCCAGCACCCTCTATGCACCTGACTCCCTTGTGTACCCAAGCATCAGCCTTGGCTTGCCTACATTGTGGACATTGGCTTCTGCAGATGTTCCAGTGCAGAGCCTGTGCTCTCTGGGCCTTCCGCTTGCAGCAGCACCCTGACACCCTCAGTACTCTTGACTCAATGATACCTGTCCAGCAGCCTTGGCTCACCTGAGCCCCAGCCGGTTGTTTCTGTTTATCCAGAGACTGTGGACCAGCTCTGGCCCAGGCAACCCAGCAAAATCCTCCATCATCCAGTGCCTGCAACTAATCTTCTCCAGTGATGTCTGAACCTCTACTTTCAAATTTGTGCTTCCTTGGTACTCTCTCTCTTTGCCTTAAAATACCTTTTAGAGTTTTTTTCTTATCTTTATAATTACTTTCCTATCGTTGGTTAATAGCTCTTTATATTAAACTTCCTCTGTTTAAATTATTGTGTATAATGGTCAACTTTATGTGTCAATTTGGCTAGGCTATGGTGCCTAGATGTTTGGTCAAACACCATTCTAGATGTTTCTGTGAAGAGATTTTTCAGATGTGATCAACATTTAAATCTGTATACTTCGAGTAAAGTAGATTCTCCGTAATGTGGGTGGGCCTCATCCAATCAGTTGAAGATCTCAAAAGAAAAAGCCTGAGGTCTTCCAGAGGAAGAAGGGATTCTGCCTCCAGAGCCCAGCCGCAACATTACCTGTCCCCTGGGTCTTCAGCCAGCAGGTCTGTCCTGCAGGATTTGGACTTGCCAGCCACCACAGTTGTGTGAGCCAACTCCTTACAATCTCTCTCTGTATATATAACATCCTGTTGGTTCTGTTTTCTCTAGAGAATCCTGAGTAATGCACTGTGTGATTTCTATCTCCCAAATGGGCCCAGACTGATAGCCTCATGAACACGCCAAAATATCCAATGAAGGCTCTTCTGCTGATTCCCAATCCGCTCTATAACCTGGCCCCACCATTTCTATCAAATTTCATTAATAATCCTCAGTGTCCCAGGTACATACCACTCATTCTTTCTCTGCCTCTGCTCAAGTTTCCCTCACAGTTCATGCCATCCCATCTCTTCTCCTCCCATTCATATTCTAGCCATCTTTCAAGGTCCAACTCCAATTCCTCTTCCTCCGTGAAGTCTTCTTTGTCTCTTGTAGCCATCCCCGTTCTCTCTCTTCTTACAGAGCATGCATCTGCCATGTAATTGAGTGCTGAACTATGTAGTACCTCATTTGGTTCTTTTTTGGTTAATATTTATTGAGATTGAGTTCTTACTGTGCACCTGGCACTGTGCTGTGCACTTTTAATCATGTAATCATCTCATCTGGGAAATTTTCCATCAAATACTCTATGTATGAGACTATGTGTTCCCCTCACAGTGATCATATAATAAAAAATTTTTTCCTTTCTCTGAGGAACCAAATGAGATTAGCAAATCAGGACAAGGGTCTATTGTTCTTAAGTAAGATGCCATAAGACCAGGGTACCCCCTTTTCATAAGATAAATAACAGGCAGCTATACCACGGAAAAGACATGTAATAGGTGCCAAATTCCTGTGAGAAAACTCATAGTTGCCTGCTGGTGTAATATTTCTAGTAAATAATAGAGAGAAGCTTTCCCACTGAACCTACTTCCAGTGAGATAACCCATTCTATGATTCACTGTGAAACCCCAGGGAGGTAATAAAAGGGGTCAGAACACTTCCCCCTCTTTGTAGTAGTTGCTTTGTCATGTCCACAGGATTGACTGGGAGTTTCTAGCAAACCCCTTTCCATGTAACCTCCAGAAGTCTTCTGAATGGCTCAGACCTTTGAAAAGGTGAAAAGAAATTTCACCAGCATATTGCTAAAAACAGGTGATTTCTGAATGCTCTTTAGCTTTGTCTTGAGTGATGAACAAAATGGCAGCAGACTGGCCCTGGTTCTTCACATTTGAAAGGACTGTCTTAATGGTCCTTGTTGATTTTGGCAAGGTTATAAAATAATCTCACTATGAGGGTTGCATTAGCCATATTCTACAAACAAGTAAATGGGGGCAAGAAAGGTTAAGTAATTTGACCAAGGAAATGCAGCTAACAGGTGGTAAAGCCAGATGTGAAGCAAGGCTTATCCAACCACAATAGGTGACTGTCTCCATGAAATGAGACTTAGTTCATAAAGGCCAGATTTACTACATGCCATGCTCACATTCAACTTGGGAGGTCAGGGCTGTTATTATCCTCATATTATAGTTCAGGAGAAAGGCATGGAAAAGCTCACTGAATTTCCCAGGTCCACCCTGGTAGCAGGTTAGTAGAGTTGAGGCCTGGATCTCAATCTGTGAGACCCAGAGCTGGTGCTCTTAACCTTGTTCAATAGTTTATTTCATGTGGGTCTTGTCTTAGGGACTCAGGTAGATGCAAACTCCACCTGAGCAAGGATTATGAATTTTCCCCAGATAGTACTAAGGAAGTGCTGGATCCAGACGAAGTCCTCAATTAAACACCCAATGATCAAGGTAGACAACTGTTAAGGAGCCCATAGTCCTGGTATCTAGCACTAGTTTCTTGTGGTATAAGTTTCTGGTGTTTTGTTGTGTTTCTTCACAAAACCTCTCCAGAGACAAATTTCCTTAGTTCTGTTTTCAGAAAAATGTCTCTCTCCCTGGAACTGTGTGAAGGGCACTTGTCTGGTGGCTTTGGCCTTCTTTCAGTCCTTGAGGCCCCACCAAGATATAAGATTGGCCCTGGAGGACATCTACTCAGGACAGACAATAGCTAGAGCTAAAGGGTGATCATGGAGATAGTGCTGCACGAAGACTGCATGAAGATGGTGCTGGATGCTCTGAACTCTAGTGCCCTGGCCCCGGCTCTGCTGCTTAGGGGGTCCCTCCCTCACTAGCTGTCACCCAGGAGTAGAAGAACACTATGGGCTACTTATCTTGATTCAGGGAATGACCCTGCAGAGTGCTTCTACCACTGTTTGCCTTTAATTCAGAGATCCCATTAACTACTAGTCCTTCTCCCATGATGTGGGCAAAGGAAAATAACATAATGGAAGAAGTATTCTAATCACTGACTAGACCAAAGCTTTGGGATGATGTATGGGTTTAATTGTTACTCTGTCCCACATTTGCACAGAAGCAGAAGAATTGACTGGGTATTAATTTTCCCTTCAGTGGAAAAACACTTGGAACCTCAATGCTAAATGGTATTTTCCTGTAAAGTGTTTTAAATCTACAAGCTCTACTTTTATTCTACTCACACAGATAAAAAAAAATGAAACCTGCCTCAGCTCTGTACCTTAGAGATACTATTTTTTGGGATTGGGACTATGATTTATTGGAAATATTATTGAATATAACAGCAATAAGAATGGCTACCTTTAATTTTCTGCCTATTTTGTTCCAAGGATTGTGCTGGATGCTTTATATATGTTAGTTTATTTAATTCCAACAATATCCCTTTAGAATCTGTGTAGATCCTTTTTGCCAATTTGAATTATGCAAATTTGGAATGGTATCATAAATATCAGGCACAAAATCAGAAATAAGGTGAATACTCCCAAATTAAGTAAAAAATCAGCAAGAACTTCAAAACATCTGGGCCAAGAGAACTCTGCTCATTCTGTTGCCACAAGGTAGTCCTCCTTTAGCTGGGAACTACAAGTACCTGCCGTGCTTTGTCAAGATTAGTCTTGGATTCCATCAGTTCTTGGGAACGCATTCCTCGCACAAAATGCAATCATCTCGTATTGTATTCCCAGAGAGCACAGTGCGGTGCAGTGCTATCCTTGTGCATAATGAGCAATCAGTAAATGGTCATTTAGTGGATTTGAAATGCTAAAAGGGGAGTGTGGTCACAAACAAGCTGGTTAGTCCTTTGCCTTTGGAACATGAGCCTTATCACTCTCCTTTCACCCCTTCCTAGCTCACGGACAAGGTTTGCATTCCAGGTGAGGTTGCAGGATAACTTGTGATGTCCAGCTGAGTACGACTAAGTGGCTTTAATTCATCCTCTCAATCTTGTTCTTGGATTCCTTTTCTCCCTCTTTCCCTCCTTCCTTCCTTCAGAAAAATAGCACATGTGTGAGGGCTTTTTGTACATTACCTTTTCAAATAATTGTAGATTCACTGGAAGTTGAAAAAAATAATGACAGGTCCTAAATACCCTTCACTCAGTTCCCCCCAATGATAACATTTTACAAAACTATAGTAGTACAGGTATTTTTGAAGGGCAGTAGCTAACTGAGTTAAAGTTCCCAGGAAAAAAATCTATATTGAGTTGTATTTACCTTTTCCCCAGGCCTCAAAACAGGGCAGGTTTATGGGTGTACCAGCAGTGCCATCGCACAAAGCCCCACAAGCAGAAGGATGCAATCAGCATCTTGAAATTCTTAGTGACTTTGTCTTTGAATGTAAGTTTTGTAAGTGAAGTACGATGGAACAACGGTGCACGCACCAGGGTCTCGGAGCCTTTGCTCGAATGTGGCTTCACCTCCCTATCTCCATGGGACAGGGCACTGGCCTCTTGCTCTCCTGCTCCTGCCCCGTGACCCCTGCTGTCTTCCCCCGCTGCAGGGTGCTGGGTGCGGGTGCGGGACAGTCAGGTGGGGAGGCATCTAGTGCTTGTGAGAGTCTGCACTTGCCTGGCAAGCATCCTCGTGCCTGAGGGAGTCATTTTGTATTAAATAACAAATGTAAAACCCCATGACAAGTCCAGACAGAGATGGGTAAAGAAAGGAAAAAGCTTTTAAACTGCATTTGGAACAAAGGGCTTGACATTTTCATTTTGCCTTGGGCCCCACAAATTATATTGCCAGCCCTACTTAAAACTGCTTTATAGCCCAGCCTCTTACAAGAAACCTAGGCATGAAGATGAATATTTATCAGGAAATAGGAAGTTTCAACAGAAGCACACAGGAATGTTTGTTTGTCAAAGGCAAAAATAGTTCCTGCTAACGTCAGAGAAATCTTCCTAAAGCACATTCTTATCAAGTCAGAGATGCTTGCAAGCCTGCGGTGCTCCATGCTCTTGGAGTACACTCCATAGCCACAGCCTGGCCCCGGGCGCTCCATAAATAATCTACCTGCATCTGATCTCTGGAATTTCAAGTTTCACCAGACCTTGATTCAAATCCATGCTTGTCGCCAACTAAATGCAGTTCATGCTTTCCCAGTTCTGTGTCTTTGCCTGTGCCATTTTATGTCTGAAATGCCATCTCATCCACTCTTTGAGGCGGAACTATCACTTCCCTCCTGAAGCTCCCAGCCTGGGCCCATCTCATCGCCTTGGCTTTTGTTTCCTCCGCCCATGTGGTTCCTTCTCTGGGCTTGTACAGCTAGAGCCATCTGGTCATTCAGAGAGAAGGTCGCCTCTCCAGAAAGGTCTACCTGGATACAAGCTCTAAGCCAACTTCTATCCCATCTCATTTCTGTTCCAGTAACTGCATTTATCACTTCTTAAATTAACTTTGCATATTCACGTTTTTACCCCTGTAATGATCATCTCTCCCATGAGAGGAGGATATCTCTTGGCTTTCTTCACTTCTGTTCTCCTCATGCCTTAAACCACGATCATGGCCAGACAGAGGATTTGGAGGCCTAGCATATATTTGTTGAATAAAGGAAGGGCTCTTTCCCTCCTCCACACACTGGAGCATATTGCACATCATATCTTGCTTATGTGTTTTCTCTCCTCTTCTATGCTATTATCTCCTTGAGCATACAGAATGATTCATTCTTATCCCTCACAATGCTTAGGAGAGACTTAGGCTTCTGTAAGTCTTCACTGAATGCATACATAAACATTAATGGTGCAGAGGCAGAGCATTTCCTTTCTTTTTCAGAACTGGGCACAGCATTAAGCCAGAGAGATCAAAACTAATTGCCAGAACGAGAAGCACACGCCATTTAGGTTCACTGTGTCTGCACCAAGCACAGCCTTGGAAAAAGTGTGTAATCAATTACCAGCACACAGGAGCCAGAGTGACCTCCGTGTTCATCACAGTGCCATTCTCTTTAGGCAATTGGTTGCTTTTGGGGCCTGTGGGATGAAAAGCTTCCCAAAATAGAGACCAGGGAGGAGGTCTAGTTCTGATGGGAGGGATCAAAGCCAGAGGGCACCTTCTTTAGTAGTGGCGGGCACATGCATTATTCTTTTAGCACAGCACTTTGTTTTTCACTATCAATAAAAATGGAGGTACTCACCCACAGATCATTTTGGAGATCTAGGGGGTGTGAAGAAGTAAGGTAAGGTGTGGCATTAATCTAGACAGTGACATGTTTGGGGCAGAAATAGGATCATTAAATCAAAATGATGCACATAAAAAAATAGAAGAGCAATCTGCTCTGATTGTCGTGGACAAGGAGAACACGAGGCCTGCTGACCAGCTCAACTGGGTTGAGATCAGGCTTCTTAAGCTCTATGAGAAAAGTCTGGTGCTGCAAAAGACCACCAGGTACTGGAGAACAAAGCAATTATGCACAAGGCCGAGGATTTGGAAGCCAGACAGAGGGAGAGAATATGCAATGTTCTGAAACTCATTTGCACAACTCTTTCTCCTCTTACCCCACAAAAGAGCTCCTCACTGGTGGATGCTGAGCCTCAGGGCTCCCCACGGGCACCTCCGCTGCTAATGGGGAAAACGAGGATGGCTCCCCTCCTCCCTCAACTGTGCAGAACCCCTGTGGTGGGAGCCTCTGTGATGAGAGGACAAGTGGTTTCACTCCTGGGGAGAGTTAGGGATTCAGAGAGTGTTTCTGGGAGGGGAGGTGCAGTGTGTGACACACACAGAAAAATGTAACAACCATGCAAACTGTGGGATAAATGGGAATTGTGCTGGCGTTCCTGAGACCTGTCTGCTGGGGTCAGATACCTCCTCAGGAAGCTGAGATGGGCTGTGGGTGCTAATGAAGAAAGCATGAGGATGTGGAGTGGTGGAGCTGGGGCCCTGGAGGTGATTTTAGGGAAATCCTACAGGCAAGGTCCTGGAAGCCTTGGTGGGGTGAAGGCTTATTTTAGTCTTTTCCCTGGGAAGGAAATGCCTATTCTGTGATACGACAGCATTGCTGGTCTCCTGTGGTCTTCAGTCTTCAAGCTGGCATTTTAGACATCTCTCGATTGCAGTGAGAGGACTATGGGCAGAGGCCACAGCCTGACAGCTTGCCTGTAGGAATGTCTCATCGTAATCAGCCAGGTGGGGCCCGGGCCTGTAGGTGGCATGAAGGAGTGGAGAATGATGCCCAGAGAGGCCTGACAAATGGTACTGGGGTGAAAAAGCCATGACTTTCCTTCTCTTTTCCAATATGAAGAAAATCATTCTCACTTTTCGTGAAGAGGAAATTCTGTGGAGCCTAGAATTAGACCACAGGCACATTTTTTTCCCTCAAAGGCATCCACTTTTGTGCCTGCTGCTATCTTTGACCTTGCTTTTCCACTCTTTATGACGGTACCTAACCCAAGAGTTTGCCTTTGGGCATGTTCAGTCTGGGCTCTAAGCTGGTTTTTTCCATTGGCTAGATGTTTCCGGTTGGTGAGTAAATTATTTATTTGTCAAATCAGTCACCTAGTAAAGCAGCCCTTGCTTTCCAAGACTGATGACTCTACACTGCCTGATAGTACCCAGGGATTCCAACTCCTGCCAAAACAAAGAGTGGTTCAGGAGTTAAGGGAATTTGCCAAGTCCTATCAGACCTAGCTCCAAAATATATCTCCAGTACATCTCCTTATTGCAGGTCTATGCAGCCACAATTATACTTGGACAGACCTACTTTCTCTGAATTGTTGTAATAGCATCTCAGCTGGCCTCCCAGTTCCACCTTGATCCCCTCCAAGCCTTTCTCTACTCAGAAGCCATAGACACTGTACTAGTTTCCTGCTGCTGCTATAGCAAATTGCTGCAAACTTAGTGGCTTAACACAACATAAATTTATTCTCTTATAGTTCTGGAAGTCAGAAGTCTGAAATCATTTTCAATGGGCTAAACTTAGGGTGGTGGCAGGGTTTTAATCCTTCTAGAGGCTCCAGAGGAGAATCTGTTTCCTTGCCTTTTCCAGCTTTAGAGGCTGCTTGCATTCCTAGGCTGGAGGCCCCACATCACTCCAACCTCTGCTTCCTTTGTCACATCTCCTTTTCCTACCCTCATGCCTCCCTCTTAAAGAGAGCCTTATGATGACATTGGGCCTCCCTGGATAGTCCAGGGTAATCTCCCCATCTCAAGACCCTGAATTCAATCACATTCACAAAGCCCCTTTTGCCATGTAAGGTAATATATTCACAGGTTCTGGGGATTCAGATGAGGACATCTTTGGCAGGGGTGAGGGGACATTATTCTGCCTACCATGGGCATTATGCCACTCACTTGGTTAAGATCCATCCATGACTTCCCAGTGCATGTAAAATACAATCCACACTCTAGCACATGGCTTGAGAGACCCTGCCCACTTCTCCAGCCATTTCTCAAACCAGCCTCTCCCTGCTTTTGTCACAGTGGCCTGTGCCTGCTTTCTGAAAACCTCAGCCCTTCTCCTTTGGAGAGTCACAGTGGCTGTCGCTGTCTCTGGCTGGGTTGTTCTTGTTCTGGCGCCTCATATGGTTGTTCATTCTCTTACTTTGTTTCTTTGGCCAAATGTCACATCCTCCGAGAGACCTTTCCTGGGAAACCCTGTTTGAAGGAGCCCTCACCCTGGTCACTTATATCCCAGCACTTCACAGCACATATCATACTCCATTGTAAGATCATTTATGTATTTGGTATCCCTCTCACTAAAGTGTAAGCTCAATGGGAACAGGCACCATTTTGTTTTGTTTATCAACAGTATCCCCAATGCTGACCATGATGCCTGGCAAATATTTGGCATCCAACAAATACCTTTCCATTGAAAAAGATAGCATGAGGATCCTAGGGAGAAGGTCAACATAAAGCATCTCTCTCCCCTTTATATGCTGTTGCTTTTTCCATTCAAATTTGGTCCACAATAATCATAACTATGTAAGATTGGCAGGTGTATAGCAGGAGAGTTTCCAGTTATGCAGTCCACTGTTTGTTGTAAGGAAGGAATCTTACATTAATTGTGTGGTTCTTGGTAATTGAGCTAGGACCTTATATTACTTAATCCTCAAATACCCCCTGTATCAAGCATTCTGGGTCCCACTTAACAGAAGAAGAAACTCATATTAAGTAACTTGCCTAAATTTACAAGACTAGTGAGTATTAGAATGGAATCTGTATACAACTTGTCTGACACCAAATCCAGTACCATTCCTGTTGTACATACATGCACATTACAGATAGTGTAACCAAGAGGAAAGAGCTCGGACCGTGGACCTAGACTTAAATTCTGACCATGTCACTAAGTAATTGTGTGACCTTGAGGAAGTACCTTAGTCTTGCTGAAATTCAACTTCCATATCTCATATTGTTGTTATGAAGAGTAAATGAAATAAGATATGCCAAGTATCTAGCACAATGCCTGGTAGTAAAGCAAATACTCAGCACATGCTAGGTCTAAAATATTATTAATAGAAACTTGCTACTCAAGAAGAGAGGCATTTTTGCTTCTTTGCTTCCCTCTAATTTAACAGAAACTTGAGTGAGAAAACTGGAAAGAAGCGCCCCTGGTTAATAGTCTGCCATATTTTCATCACTACTTCTTCCTGTCACAAATGTTCTCAAGCTCAAACTCACTGAAACAGGTTTCCCCATCAGTAATGAATATTTTCTAACTCACTCAAAATCTGCAGGAAAGAGTCAAAATTTATCAATGCTGAAATGCCGTTCTTTGGGGCAATGCTCTATTGGGACATTGGAAGCTGAAGAAGGAGAAATCTTCCAAGTGGGTGAGAGAATAGGTCCTGAGACCCAGCAGTTGTACTTTCTCTTAAGATTGTCTTTCTAGTGGAATATTTCCAAAATGCTACAATTTTCCTATCCCACCAGGATGGTTAATAAAGCATATATCTTAAGCTCCCCTGCTAACAATTTTTTTCCAGCTAATGCTTCATGCTGCCTTGTTTAAAAGACAAATCCGTAAAAAACGTAAATATGAGTATGTCGTACCCTTGCTTAAAGCCTCCAATGAGTCCTCTTAACTTTCAGACTAAAGCCCACACGCCTTTCACTGTTTAATAAGTTCTATCATTTCACTCCGATCTACCCTTCAGATCTCCATTGACTACTCCCCATCCATTACGACCGCCCTGATAACACTCTCCACTTCATGGAGAAGGTGCTGTTAGTCACTCTTCATTCTTACACTAGGAGTTAACTGCATGTTTACATTCAAAAGAGGACCATGAATGAAATTTATTCTTGCTTCCCTTACAGATCAGAAGAGAGTTCCTAATGTGGTCTAGATCTCACTAGCCCAAGATTTGGATTGACCAAATCTATGGGTAGTAAATATCTTTGCAGGCAGCTAGGATGGTGTAGAGAATGCCAGCAAAAACAAAAAGTTTCAAAACCTGTATTTAAAGTGTCAATTTATTGATTGACAACTAAATAGCTAGTCTGTCCCCATGGAAAGTTCAGTCATTTTTTTGAACAAGAGTCAGCAATGATATTTCAGCTTTCCCGTGTGGAAATGTCCTAAGAGATGCCCGAGATGTCTAAGTCCCAGATGTTCATGTCTCTGTTCTTTCATTTCAATTGAGCTAAAATTTTTTGGATACCTACAATGTGTAGGTACTTTCTTAAAGACAAGGACACACAGAGTGTGGAGGTGGAATAAATTAATTATGACCTAGAGATACTGAGAAGGTCTAATGAAGGAGAATATATCTTGGCATCTGTAGATATTGGAGGGTACGAGAGCCAAGCAGAAGGAACACTGTGAGGAATGACCCAGGAGATGGAGGGAAAGGGTGTCCTGGGGTAGCAGCAACTGGATGGAGCAGAGTAAGCATTGAGGAATGCTAAGGGGTGGGGGTGAGGGGTAAGCCAGGGAGTTGGACTCACATTGTGGAGACTCTCAATGCCAGGCTGAGGAGCTGGACTTTGCTCTGTATAGCAGAAAATTACGGAAACTTTTTGAACAGAGAAGTGACACAATCTCCCATTACTTATAATAAATACAGAGAAGAATTAGGGGCATATTTAAGATGCATCGAGTATTTACCATCTGTGTTCCTGAACGAACACATCTCCTTATTTCTTTCTGAGAAAGTCCTGTCAGCTCAAAAGAGTGTGTTCCTGAACAAATACAAGAAAAAAGGATTGTGTTATCGGAAAGGCTACACTTTGCTCTTTTATGTTCCACAGAGTTTACAAGAATGTCAACAGAATGATTGCGCATGGTTAAGATTAATAATTTAGATGGAAAGTTTACAGGAACCAGAACAAAGGAAAAACTATTTTAAAAATGCAACTGTGTTCTAGCCAAAAAATGGCATTATGGTAAATTTATAATCGCTTTCAAAATCAGAGCTTAGGATGAAATAAAGTCGTATTTCATGGTTTTTTAGGAGCACTCTCACCTTTGAGTCTACGTTGAATTCTAGGTCAGCCAATTAGTAGCCAAGTGAGCTTGGGGAATATGCCTGCTTTTCCAAGCCTCAGTTTTCTCATCTGTAAATGGGTATAATAATGTTAACCACCTCAGTGGGTTGTTGAAATAAAAGTTTGTTAAGTGCTTAGCAGAGTCCTATTTTGTTTTTAATAAACTCTTTTTAACTCTTAATAAATAATAAACTCAATAAATACTTGCCATTTTTACTGTAATGCATTTCTCCCATTTTTAATAAAACTTGACAATGAAAAAAGAATCATTTTCATATTTCACTTCCTTATTCTATTAATTTAACATTTTAAGTTTTACAAGGAAGAGTTGGCTCTCATTATTCATGGATTCCACATTTGCGAATTTGCGTACTTGCTAAAATTTGTTGGTAATCCCACAATCAATATTCATAGTGCTTTCATCATCATTCATGGACACGTGTACAGTTGCAGAAAATCTGATTGTCTAACACCTATGTTTTTAGCTGAGGCTGAACAAAGCAATGCTCTTTTTTCTTGTTTCAACTCTTATTCTGTAAAAAAGGGTCCTTTTCACGATCTATTTGGTGCCATGTTTTTCGTATTTTTAGGTTTTTTTGTTGGTGATTTTGCTCTTTAAAATGACCTCCAAACATAGTGTTGAATTGCTGGCTAGTGTTCTCAGATGCAAGAAGGCTGTGATATGCCTCATGGAGAAAATATCTGTGTTTGACAAGCTTCGTTCAAGCATGAATTACGGCGCTGTGGGCCATGAATTCAATGTTAATGCACCAACAACATATATTAAACAAGGTATATTAAAGAGAAACTCACATAAAACAACATTATATATTGATTGGTTGATGAAAATGTTGTGACCAGAGGCCTGCAGGAGTCTAACTCAGTGTTTCCCCAGGAGCAGTAATTCAGTATTCGCTAAATCAGTGTTTGCAGTGACTTTATAAAGCGTAACTACAGAGAATAATGAGAATCAACTGCATTTTTGAAATTTGTCCTTATAGTAATGAATATAATAGGTGATGCGTTTGTTGTTTAATCAGTAAACACATACTATAAGAATATATATCTTTGCAAATATGAAAATATTGTTTTAAATTTCTGGCAACTTGTGATTTCTTGATAATTTTATATGGCTCAACTATACTAATTTCATTTGCTTATGTTTTTATAGCCCTTTGTCATAGCCCTAATTTTATGCTATCAATTTCATGAAAAATCAATTAAACCATAATGCTAAAAGCTCGTATTTTCTTTAGTCTATTCCTTGGATGTTTGTTTCAAGCTATTTCTAAGTCCTAGTAATCCTCAACTAAATTTTTGCTGGCATTTAACTTCAATTGGTTGAGCTTTTTGAGTAACAATCACAAGATCCTGATAATGGTGGTATTGATAGAAATCTAAGACATCTTTTAATTGTAGGGAGGATGCCATTCTTAGTGAATCAGGAAAGGCTGTGCATAGGTTCCTCTCGTGAAAACTCAGACACAGAAGCCCAAGGGCTGTGTGTGCATAGATCAGCAGGAAAGTCTGGCTCCAACACCATGTTGTAATATAGATTTCCTTTCATTTCAGGCAGTTCAATATTTTAGAAAAGATCTGTAGAGAAAGATTCTTTTTCAGAATGTTTTTCTTTTACAATGTTCCTTAAAAAGAAATTCTTTATTTTAACTTATCCACAGCTTTTTTCTAAGCTTTGTCCTTTTACTTTCAACTTGTTTTTGGAAAAATTAAAGAATTTGTGGACACCACACTGTATATAACAGCCTACCATGGTCAAAAAGACTATTGAAAATGTTAATTAATAAACTTTGCCATTGAAACAATTGGGTTTTGACAGTCAATTAGAAAAATTAAAAACACATTATCCAAATTGATTAAGACCTTGGTATCCATTATACGTATACCTCAGAGACTGAGATGCAAGAAGAAAATAATAGAACTTCTATTTTTAGAACTTTGTCTAAAAATATAATAATAAATTCAGCCTTATGAATATTTAATATTTAGCTTATCCCTGGCATCGTCAGGTAGCCTGTATTTCAGGCAGGCACAAATTAGGAACCCAAGGCTCTGAGATCTCCTGAGGACAGAGTATGAGTTTCACATTGGGAGGCGTTGATTGCACACCCATGGCCATGTGTTCACTTTCAGCATACTGCAATTTTAAGTTAACATGTGGGTATGGAGATTAAGAAATTACACTACAAAAAATCTTTATAATACTTTCTAATGATATGGGGCAGCGATCGTGAAAATCTTTTGCACAACCTATAGGTTTGCTGGTTATGTTGCAGGAAGGTAACATGTCAAATTTAAGATTTATCATATGTTGTTTGCTTTATTTAAAAAAAATCCTCACTTGCCAGGTTTGCTGACCTTTTTCTGTAATGACAACTAGCTATCGGTAGTGTGTTACGTAGCAGATATTTGAAAAAATAAACAGAGTTGATTTGCCCCTTCAAGGTAAAGGTCACATTTTAATAATGGATGAGAAAGCAACTGCTTTGGAAAGAAACTCATGTTATGAAGAAAGCATTTTGGAAATGTTTCTCTCATTAATGATTTAGTTGCCATAAGCAGTGGGTTTCAACTATAAAACTCCTATCTCCACATTTAAGGAACTTGGAATTTAAAGATCTTCCAAATAAGATGTTCTGAATCCATTTGTTAAAAATGGGAAAATGCAACACTGCCCACTTAGTTTCCATAGATGAGTGACTGACATCGGGGAAGACGAACATTCACCAGCCAAATTGAAAGGGAAAACTTTTGCATAATTGGTGGATGGGATTGAAAAATGAGTACCATGATTTAGGAAGCGCAGCCAATAAGGTACTTCTTTCCTTTGGATCTCTGTTATCTTTGTAAAGTGTGCATTTAAGTTATGACAGCCACTGAAACTGTGTATGAAAATAAACTGAATTTTGAGCTAGGCCTTTGAATTTGTGTCTCACAAAGTGTTAAATCAAAATTTAAAAAAATATAAAGTATATTAAATAAGTTGGTTGGTCTCAATAATATTTTTCAGATGAAAGAGAACATAAAGGTCCTTCTGAATCTTTAATAAATAAACTGTTTTAATGTTTATTTTTCATTTTATCCTTTTAAATTTATGTTTTTGTGTAAGTTTAATAATATCAATATCAGAACAACATATAAATTTAATTTATAAGTAAAGTCTCATATACTCGGGGTGTGTGCTTAAATTTCCCTGAAAGATCTGTGTAATAAATAAGTTCAGAGATCACTGGTCTGGAGTGCCCATTCTAAGGGTAGAAAACTAAAATAAAGTGGGGAGATTGGATATACTTTTCAATTCATTTTGAAAAATGTTTTCCCCAAAGAGGAATGTGTAAGAAAAAACTTCCATCTATTGTTTGTATTTTAAAAAGAAAAGACAATTTAATATCAGAAAATTCGGATGGAAATAATTGCAGAAGAAAGGATAAATGATAAAATTGGAAATATTTACTTATGAACAAGGAACACATTGTCCTTTAAAAAAGTTTTTGCTGCGGACTCCTGAATACCACCGTAAAGCAGTACTGGTCTGCACACCTTAATTCTCATAATCTTCTTCTTTTTTCCAAATATAATATGTCACATCCTGTGTACTTTTTTTCTTTTGGTAATTCATTTCTTAATACCATGTGAATTTTGACCTTTCCTGTGACAGTTATCTTGCTTCTTCATGTCTCCCTGGGCCCTGGGTAAAGCCCCCTGGGACTATCCTCATTGAAACAATGATTTCATAGTGGCCAGAGAGTGAGCATTTTTGCATTTTCCATTTTAGTTTTGCTTTCTGGATGCTTATGGCCCATTCTAACTCCTTGACATTTTGGTCTCACACAAATGTATATTTGGCTTCCCTTCCCTCAGTATACATTTGTCCCCACCAACCAGCTACTTCTTCAAATTATAAAAGTCATTTGAATTGTAAGTCTACCTTTTGTGATACTAGACATCCTTGCATTTTGGCTCCAATCTTCATGATCAAATTTCATATTCCTATTTTCTTGATCATTATTAAAAATGTCAATTTACAGATTTTCAGAAACAATCGCCGAAACCTCATTATTTACTTCCAATAATAGAAGAGAGTATTGATGAAAATTCCACGTACAGTTTTCCAGTTAATTATTTTTTGCATTAGTTATTTGACGTGTTATAAAAAGAAAAAAAATCTAACAAAATAAAACCCACATTGAAATCTCCACAAAGTTCTACAGTATGCACAGTATTTTCTCTTTATTATCAATGCCATCTCTTAGTCATAGGAAATGAGGTAAGTTGGAAGGAACTTTCACGAAAACAAAATCTGTTAAAATTATTCTAGCTTCATCACAACATCAACAAAGAAAATATTTATTGTGCTTTCATTTTCAGTGTGTGGCCTAAGCGTGTGCCCTTTGAGGAGCTGTGCAACAGAGGTTATCAATTTATGCACATGTGCCAAGAGTCTCAACACACAAAATCATTCAGTGGGAGCAGTCAGGATCAACCCTAGATCAAATTTGTGTTTGGTGCGCTTCCTGTCCCCTAAAAATACCCTCTTTCCATTCTTTAGTCAACCGTTTCCTTCCTGCCTCTCTCCCCACATCACTGGATGGTCAACAGGCTTGTCAAGGTGCCTCATGCAGCATTAATTTCCCAGCAGGAAATTCCTCTCTCACCTCCTGCTCCTACTTATAAGAAAGTGACTTGGCATTCTCCTTTCAAGGTTGTTGGCTTCTGGTATGCAGTAACAACAAATGGACTAGATCCAGGAAGAGTACAGCATTTTATTTAGCATAGAAAGAATTCTCCAGGAAAAAAAAAAGGACAACATGGAGATTAAGATTAAGCTTGGTTACAGAAGCCTGGGCATTCTGAAAGTATATCAAAGAAGGTTCATAAAATAGAAAAAGTAAAATACAAGGGGGGAAGAGAGGTGAAACCAGCAATGAGGTGGCAAGTGAGGGGACATCTTTCCTTCCCTGGTCTACAGGTGATGGCCAAGGCAAGGCTGCCTTCGGAACGAATGAGAGATGGAATATTTTGTCTCAAGGGTATAGTACCTGAACTTGGAGATGGTCAGGAAATTGTGTCAGGCCACAGTCTCAAATGATGACCCAGATCTCTGCAAGGCTTCTTAATGTTTGGCA